TCACAGTATGCCTTGTCACAGTGCTCACTTTATACGACATGCTCACAATGCGCTGTTGATCCTTATTGTTCGTGGAGCTCGGCACGTTCTTGGTGTTTTCGACGTAATGCCGCGCACTCTTCCGCACTCGGGTTGGTCTTTTGAATAACTCTTGTTTATGCTAAACATATCATTTTAGATGGGTTAGTGCAGCACCCGATGAAATACCCAAGTGTATTGAAAATGTTGATCGTAACTCAATAGTGGCTTATCCCGGTGATTCGATACATATGAAGTGTGACTTCAACTCAAACTTGGATTCGCTACAATGGAAATACAATGGGAAGCATGTAGTTACTCCTTGTGCACGAAAGCACATCACGACATTGGGTGGTCTTGTGCTGCTTAATGTTAGTCAGTCTCATTTTTAAAATAAATCTTCATCAGGAAACGAGCATGATCATCCGTGAATAATGCAATTGAATTTAGGTGAGCGCTGTGGATAGTGGTGTATACGAGTGTTCTTGTGATGGAGAGGTTGTTTGTGTGTATGAAGTTGATATCGATACAGGTGATTTTTTGTTGATGGCAGTCACTTAATGCTGTTGCTGAGTGCTGATTGAAACGGTGCAGCACGATGTATTCCAGTTGCGCTTAATGCACATTCGATCTCCAATCTTTCTGTTCCATCTCACTTGTAGCTATCTATGCTGCGTTTAAAAAAAGCTGAATTGCTGCTTTCATACGTTCTATCACAAATGAACACTTCAAAAATTGTTCCTCCTCATCATGTTTGTGAGTTGGTTCAGTTATAACTTTGAATCTACTTCAATACTGTATTATCTTTGTTATACAGCTGAATGTACACAACCAACCAGTATTGCCCAGTTCCAATCTGTATACAGAGAATGGTGTAAAAAGTTAGCTCATTATAAGCAGTCGGTGGACAAATGGCAACTTTGGTACGATAAAAATGTGAGTAATTCAGAAATAATTGACATTTTTGTGAAGACCCATCAAAAAAAGTGTTCTTCCTTATTGTATAACGTCAGTGTTAGATCAGATGCGACAACTACTGCATCACTTCATGACTGGGCAAATAAACTGTCATTGCTATTTTGCAGGCTCATTGTCCAAAGAAGAAAATATCTGATGAATATGGTGACATCAATATCAACAACCGAGTTTAATCGTCGATATTACTGTGCACTAAGCGAAGTATTGAATATGCAAAACAACAAGTATTTTGATTGTATTCCATCAATTCAGTTGTTGCCACTTAATCTCACATCTCGATCAGCTGATCTCTCTGACTGCCAATTAAAAGCATTTCCATTAATCGTTGTTTCATTCACTTGCAGAAGCTCATCTTCCTATGCAACTGCATGTTCAACTGTATATTGTATGCTTTACTCATTTCCTGTTCAGTCAAAATTAATAAATTTTCTTTCGTATTTGTTGTTATTTTTTGATTATTCATCTCGTCTTCAATGCATATCCATCGTTTCGACAATGTTTTATTCCACTAACCCTTATCAAATGGGTTCCTCGAAAAGTGTGATGGCGCTGTGTGAGAAATTGTTGATTGAGATTTGTAAAACTGGAGAAATGTTACCATATTACTGATTCCAATGGACAGATGTGTAGAAGTGTGTACCGGCGATTAATTATAATCACAGTCAAGCTGCCTTAAATAAACACGAGCTTGAGCTGAGCTCTAACTAATCGATGCACTACGACAATCCTAGTTGCATATCTTTTTGGTACTGATAATTCGCTGGTTGCTGTGCAAAAACCTTTACAGACACTTTTTCAGTCCCTTAGCTGCAAAAATATCGTTACATTATTTGTTATGTGTCGACACAAGTTCTTCAATACCAGTCATCCGCATAAAACATCTTTCAGTAAGGACCTTTGTGAGGATGATAGGAACAGAGCCCAGTGTGGGAATCCGTAGCTACTGGATATTTGCAGTTTATCACCTTGAGAATTCTTCTCTCATGCGAATTTCTCGAGAAGTCCGTGAGGGTGTAAGTACTAACTGCTTTTTAATTC